CAGTTACATCAGGTGTGCCTCAAGGGTCCATCCTCGGTCCAGTCCTATTCAGCCTCTATGTCAACGACCTTCCAGATGCAGTTACATCTAGTCATGTTGCTATGTTTGCTGATGATACAAAACTGTTCAAAAACATCAAGTCCGTCAAAGACAGCGAACAGCTTCAAAACGATCTCAAACATTTAGAAACGTGGTCTGAAGAGTCTGGTCTCAATTTCAACGAAACGAAATGCAAGACACAACGTATAACAAGAAAGATAACACCAATAACATTTAATTACAAACTTAACAACGGAAACTTAGTACATACTGAATGTGAGCGAGATCTCGGCGTTTTTGTGGATAAAAGCTTAACCTGGAAGAGACAAGTGTACGAGCAGTCAGCAAAATCAAATAAACTATTGGGTTACATCAGGAGATCCACAATCTATATCCCTCAACCAGGAAGTGAGACGCACATTATACCTTGCACTAGTTCGGCCACACCTGGGGTGTGCTACCCAAATATGGGCACCACAATCCACCGAACTAATACGCCACCTTGAACGAACACAGAGAAGAGCAACCAAATACATCCTTAGTCTTCCATTCTCCTCCTCTACTGACTACACCACCAGACTTCAAACTTTAGGACTCTTACCGATCTGCTATTGGCATGAATATCTAGACATGGTACTCCTTTATAAAATAACTCACAGACTAGTAATCATCAAAGCATCACTACATCCAAGTATCCGCACTTCCAGATCGACTAGATCCTCCACCAATAACAGTCCTAAGTTCGTCGTGCCAAAATGCAAAACGGTAACATATCAAAGATTTTTCATGATTCGGGCAACTCGAATATAGAACCATCTCGTTGATGAACTTAATTTGAATACGGATAGTCTTTCGTCATTTAAGTCGGCAATGTTTAAGTACTATATTTCCTCTTTGTACTCGTGTTACGATGTTGAGGATCCTCGTAGTTATAAAACTATATGTCCTAAGTGTAATTCTGTTCGTAGCCTCACAGCGTAATTATTGTGCTGTATGTAGGAACTGTTAGTACTGTTCTTTGTTGTTTAATATGCGTATTGTTGCAATTTATTTATTCGGGCCCGCAGTAATTGGCAATTACGCTGTTGCGGATTCCCTGCCACTGTAATATGTACAAGGCGAATTAAATAAATAAAACCGGTCTTTTGTTAAAAGGAAGACTGGTTAATAGAAATTGGTCCTTTTGAGTGACATAATCGTGTATCGTTATCGATCCGTGTCGTTGAACAATGAAAAATTTGTAGTAAAAATTTAAGAATGTAGTAAAACTATCGTATATATAATTTCAAGTTTTGTTATTATTTTAGCGTATTGCTGTTAAAGAATATTTTTTGATAGTTTTAAGGTATAGCGATTTTTAGTTTGATTTAGTTGCCAACCTTAGGAATAAATATAACTTGAAAGTAATAATATGTAGTGAGTGATGTCGCCCGTAGCACGCAACCACAACTGCAGAAATGCATTGTTATCCAAACATTTTTGCCATATTAAACAGTTATATTTATAGTTTGAATATTTTAGTCAAATATTTACAACGCCTAGCTGTTGGACTTGCCTATGTTGAATTTGAAACATTGTGTGGATCATCTTTAATATATCGAAAGAACCTCTGTTACAAGTTCTCGATTTATATTATACAATTACTTTAGGGTTTCCGTGTTTGGATGGCCTGATCCAAACACGCGGGAATGTTGCGAGAATTAAGAAAAGCGCGCGAAACACGAGCCGAATGCGAGTGATTTTGCGCGCTTTTCTTAACTCGAGCAACATTACCAAGTGTTTGGATCAGGCCATCCAAACACGGAAACCATAAAGTAATTGTTTTATAAAATAACAACTTTCCGTGTTAAAATTTCACTTTAAAAAACTTTCACTTTAAATTTCCGTCTTTGAATGGCCTGATCCAAACACAGGTTTCCACCAATCAGAGCACGCGTTATATACATGTTATTTTATAATGGGGGTTAGTGACACAACACAACAATTGCTCGTTTGCAATCGATGCCATCTTGGTTGATTTTCAAAACATTCGTGGTACCTAAAAATCTATATTCCTCATTCTTTGTCGTATTGTGCCAGAAATCGTAAATTATCCATAATACTATTAAAACATCTAATAGATGTTTTCAAAACAAATAAAAAATATTAAAGTAACTCAACTATTTCAATGTAAACGGCTCATGGACAAATCTTTAAAATCAACCAAGATGTCGCCTAATGACACATAGTGACGACATGTGCAAGCAAAGAATATAAGCGAGAGACAATATTAAAGACAATTATTGAATTCTCTTTTCGCATCATATGAAGACATCAATCTCAAACCCTGAGCCTGCAATCCTCTGTTGCGGCTTGCTGAGAGATTAGTATTTCATCTTGCAAGGATATTTTTGATCTTTGACTTTAGTTCTTCAAAGATCACTTGCCAGGGTTTTGAAATGCTGTAAGATGTCTAACATACTGGTAGTGCATGATTTAACTATATGGTAAATCTTGGATTGTTGTGTTGCTAGCCTTGAGAGTAATGCCGATTTTGATGTTAATAAATATTGGGATCAGGTATATTGCGAGTCAAGAAGTTGCGAGTCGATATAGGTTTACACTTTTATTACTGTATAATATATTAATGTGTGCGATGCCGTTTGTTTTTACTGTATTTCTTTTTTTTTAAATGTTTGAATAAATTACCTTACCTGTCAATCAACCTAAATTCAGCAATCACAATTCTCGGCAGCTGGCAATTTTACCTGGGCTTTCGGCCAGGTTCGTCCTTAATTCTCTGCCATAGAAGAGCCGGCCACGCTGGCTAATGTTTTTGTTAAAGTTGTACTTACAGTATATATTTGTAATGTATGTTATGTTTATGTTAAAAATACATTTATTGTTTTGTGTTTTTTTATAGTGGAAATCATATTATATTTCTGATGAAGTCCCGAGCAGATGGGATAAAAAATCCTCTACTTTTTGTGACTGTGCTTTTTGGTTTTCTGGTGGGTTCACAAAGTGTCAGTAGCCAATATATTCAAAACTAGTATATTAAAATTTGAAAGTTCATAAAAATCTCTACGCAGAACGGACACAACGGGGATCGATGTAAAATTAAAGCGATTGTCAAGTTTAAAATATTGCGTAATGAATTGGTATCACGTTATCGCAACAAAGATTCATATCAAAAAGCAAAAATGTTCTTGATTGACTTTAATGACTTAGGGTTCAGTGGGAATGTTGGGCTATATACAGCATATAGTAGTCTCCCTCGCAACCGTTGTGGTTCAGTGTCACGCAACTCCGTTTCCCACTAATACAACTGTTGCGAGAGAGACTAAGACTATATAGTTAATCCGTTCGAGGTTTGGCCAATGGGGCAATGGGAGAAGTTAATTGAGGATGTTGTTAACTGCGATCATGGATTGTAGAATAACTGGATAGGAAACTTCTGACGTCATTGACCTCATCCTTGTTGAAAAACGTGACGTCACGCGTATTGCGAATGTTACCAAAGTTCTCGGCATATTTGTTGTTTTGCTATATTTTCCACTTTAAAAGGGTGATCTTGAAGCATAAACTGGTCTAATTGTTTTAAAAACATGCCTAAGCCACGACAAAGTATTCAAGGTAAATGTTTTTCGTCTTTGTTTTGAATTTTTTTTACATTTGTAGCTACGAAATTGGCGTCACAAATTTTAACGAAATTTGCGATGTATTTTTCACTGTTTAGTGCTTCAAATATTTGCTAAAATTGACTGGGAATACTTAGAGTTTTCATCGTAGAATGGCCTGGTTATATTTATTTGCTCTTTGACTAAAATGTTTAGCTGTATTTCTAAAATACGTTTAATTTCAGTATATATAAAACCTACAATTACTTGTCAACAACAAGCCTTTATATTATCCTAAATGCTAATTTACATAAACTGTCATGCTAAATGTGACAGTATTATTGCTAAACATGCCGTTTTTGAGAATTTGGTTTGCAACTAGGTTGGGACATCCAACCACGCCATCAGCCCATTAAAAACATTAGGTCACGTCAGCTAGTTTCCTATCCAATTATTTTATTATCCATGCTGCGTTAAATGTTCAACTTGAAACTTTGTTTCATTATCACGGTATTTTTTAGTGTATGGGGGCAAGTCCATGCAGGCAATCTGAAATTTGCAAATTCTTGACTTGCCATTTACTGACTCGCAACTAGCAACTCGCAACTATGGTCTATTGATTCTTATTAGAAACAAAGGAAATAATTTAATAGTTCATTACATTTATACTGCGTGTTTCATTAACATATTTAAACATAATGCATGAAAAAATAAATTTTAGCAAAATATCTTACATACTCAAATTTGACAATGATCATTGTGACGCAATATCACTCAAAACGCAAATATTTACACATTGTTCTGAACAACAAACACATCTACCGCATATTCCAACTAATATTTAATCAATACTACATATACGGTCCTGCTCGAGAATTTTTGCCATCAAAAACATACATTTTGGAAGAAACTTAATTTTCCCATTTCTTGACTGCTAATTTCCCGATTGGGACAAGTAACTGTGGTCTTGAATGCTTTGTCATTAACGTTTAAGTGTGCTACTTTGTTTTTATTTTTACTACATGCATGCACTGCAATACGAGACACAGGTTAGCGAAATCTGGGTTTTTGTGGTTTTTAAAAATCTAGGAAGAAGATACCCTGGTTCCAGAGCCTCTTTGCGAGGCGAAAGAAACGAGAGGCGAGAAGGAAGAGCCTCTGCGTGGCCGCATCGGTTGCAAATCCCACTTCCACACTTGATTATAGGTTCAGAATTTGAATCTCGCATGTGATTGGCTATTTGTAAAAATATGTCAAACCGGTTTGGGAAACAAACATTACTCACTGTAAGCTAATTATAGCTATTATAGCTATAATTAGCTTACAGTAATGTTCATTTTCCAAACCGGTTTGACGTATTTTTACAAATGGCCAATCAAATGCAAGATTCAAATTCTGAACCTAATCAAGTGTGGAAGTGGGACTTGCAACCGATGTGACCAGAGGCTCTTCCTCTCGCAAAGAGTCTCTGGAACCAGGGCAATAAGAAGAAAGCGCGCGCGATAAATTTGGTCAGCGAGGACAATTCCTCCACCTGTTTAGAGGAGCTACATATCATCTTTATATTACCCCTGATGAGCACATTATGTCCAATTCATTCTAATTCTTCAGCAATATTATTCGTATAGTTAACGATATTGTTGAATCATTATTTATATTATTTAGTGTTGCACTTTTTAGGCCAATAACATAGAATGTATGTAACATAGAAGTTTTGGTTCGGGGAAATACCTGCACGTATACTTATTATTGCAATATTAAATATATACTTATATTATTACTATACAGAAAACATATTACCGAATTGTTTCACCCTGTTCGACTATTTGTAAAGCACTACTGCATGGTGATAATAGCCGATCGCGTGTATCAGGAATAGACTGGTAAAAGTTCATCAAAGATTTATTTATCAATTGAAGCTTTTGGAGGTAGGTTCTTATATTCAAAAGCCATCCATATAACTCCAAATACCCAGACAGTTACCAGGCCAAGACAACTGCAAATCATAGGTATTTTGTCAAATGTTGCACCAGCTATTACACGTGCAACAATCATGCCTATATTGTTTGAAGTAAAAATAAGACTTTGATAAAATGCGGCTCTGTTCGATGGTGTTATTTTTGACAACAATGAACACGCTAAGGCGAAGTTCATAAACTTTACACTCATAATAATCATGGAAATAAGGAGAAGATAAGCTGCATTAGCGGTAATCGCATTGTTCCACATGAGGGCAAAATAGAATGTGATTGATATTGGGACGATCGCAGAAACGAACGCAACAAAAAAACACTTCTTTTCGGAGATCTTGTGCAAGATGAGATAGGTAGCAATGTATAAAATGAAGACAGCCAATGAACTGTTGACGTAAATTAATTTCACGTGAATGAGTTTCAGTCCAAGATGATATACGGCTAGCAATGGAGTATAAAATGAAATCACACTGTAGCAAACCACAGTTAGAAAGGCTAGATAATATAAACAACCGACAGTCGAGGGGGTACAACTGATACTACTTTCTTCTTCAATAATCTCGTCACCACTATTTTTGTCACTATCTGGGTCCTGCTGAATCTCCTCAGCCTGTGAGTTTTCTGCTAGATCAGATGGCAAGAACACTGCTAGCATAAGCAGAAATACCCAAACGGTGACCAGTAATACCCCTGGTGAATTCCCTGCGTTGATTTCCCAACCAAATATGTTCACGTTGAATACGATAACACTACCAATAGAAGGGCCGAACATTGCACCAACAGTATAGAGACCTTCAAAATATAGAAAAGCTTTGGCACGATTTTTGTTGGTGGTACATTTTATCACGGCTCCGTAAAGAACGCCTATTGTACTTTCACCAATTCCACTTATGAATCTTCCAAACAAAGGAAAGTATCCGTTGAAAGGAATTGAATAAAGCAGATTACCAAATAACTTAGCTGAAGCGGATATGACAATGATTGCCTTCAAATCGTGAGACTTCACCTCTAAAATCCCAAACAAAGGCGCGAAGATACAGGTTGCAGTGGAAAAGGCAGCTAGAGTTAAACCAAGGAACGCTTTTGACTCCCCAAGATACTCCATGTAATACCAAGCAGTTGGTTGTATTATATATTCCTCCGCGCCATCCACAAAAAGACGAATTGATAGATACACGAAAAACAATTTATGCAGTGAAGTGAAATTCAGTTGAATTCGTTTCAAAGGTCTATAGAAAAAAAAGAGATTAATTAACAGCGTAGAGTAATAAACTTATTTAATAAAGGTCTTAGGATGGGTGTTTTGTGGGTTTTTCCAAATATTCTCGTACACTTGCGTTGAGTTTTCTCTGATTCCCTACAGTATGATGACGCATCGCGCTGGAGCGGGCGTGGAATAGGGATTGGCACACACTGGACCAAGACGTATGCCATCACAATACAATTCCTAATGAATTTTCTGTTCAAAACTGGGCAATTTCTGAAAGGCTATTGTTTAATAGCCATTATCAGATGGCGTTACTTTTTTGCAAAGTAAAATCACTCTGTTTTAACAGGTTTTGGAACAAGTAAATAAGTTGTCTTTAATATTTTACAATAGGTTGAAGGGAAATATAAATATACTTCAGTATGAGAAAATTTTATGAACGATTCCACTTCCGTTATATATTTTGGGACATTTTGCCTACTTCCATGCCATTATAGCTTTATATAAATACACACGGACAATAATAATACTGTACACTCAATACCTCGGTCAGCACTTTCCATCTACCAAACTGACGTGACGTCATTTTCGGAAGACGGAAGAGTTGCTAAACGGCCATGTAATTAACCCAAACCCTATCTCTATTCTTATCCCTAACCCAACCCTAACTCTAACCCTAACCCTAATCTTAACAAAAATAATAAAATAAATCCAAAAAGAATCAAATTGATCAAGAAATTGATCAAATGACGTAACGTCAGTTTGATGAAAACGAGTGAAAACTCAATACCTCGCTCAATACAACCGATTTCTGGACGTATACTCACGTTTATACCACAGCTATGTTAATTTTACCTGTTTTGGTTTAGAATCGCTCTTAGATGGCGAAAAAAATCCGGTTTGAAAACGCAAAATTTGACCATATCGAAACGGGGCAAGTTTGAGGCTGTTTCAAGCATTTTCACATTGGGAAATCTACTAGGCCTTCTATTTTTCGCTTCGCCTTTGCATCGCTCGCCCCAAAATTGCAAGGTTCCAGTCTTCTCAGGAGAAAAGCGCTGAAATATAAATAGAAGGCCCTAGGTCTAGGCTGGAGGGTTCTGGAAAACGCATTTTCGCATTTTTTAGTTAATGTATTCTCACTATTTTATATGTAAAAGCTTTTACGAACACCAAACGTAACCGACTCAAATTTATGTCGAAAACTTCGAATATTTACTATTTACGAATATTAACGTCGAATGGGCTCTTGTGGTCTTATGTCGTCCAAATTTACGAATCCAGAGTTCAATTCGACGCGGCCTGAACGATCCCTGAAAAACCCACTTTGTATCAACTTGCAGCGCACACCCATGCAGTACAGGGTGTAGATAAAATGCGGACGCGGACCGGCGGCCTTACATTACATCTCTGTACAAAGTGTATGTTTTTAAGGTTCATTTCTGAAACAGCAACAATTAACTGTTCCCGTTTTTACGATTTTTTAAAGTCAAAATATGTTTAAAACTATATACAAAATTGAATGTTTAAAGTTCACTTATAAGACAGCAACTATTCGTTTTTACGGCAAGCGCCAGATATTAAGAACGAATTTTCCAATGGTATTTGCCAAGCTTCAGTTGTGAGATAAAACAGTATTTTTGAAGCTTTCTTGATTATAGTATTCATATATGTGTATTCCATTTTAAGTTTTCGCCGAACATAACTTCGGCCCCTTTCGAGTATCTTCTTCCTAATCAGAGGCGTAGCCAGGAGTAGTAATATAGGGGCCGATCGGGCCTTATTTTCAGGGGGCCGCAGGGGGCCGCTTCATTATATATGCAAGTAATTACTATGCAAGGGGGCCGCATCATTATATATGCAGGTAATTAAGGGGGCCGCACAAATGAGGGTGCGTAGTGACGTCACTCATCATTAACATACGTCATAATTATATGCAATGACGTCACGCGGGCAGGTTTAAACAAGGACGTGTGAAACTTGCTGACTACGCATTTTTTAGCGTCCCTCCTCGTGTGCGACACAATAGTTAGGGCTATATACAAGAGAATATGTTGTTGTCTGGAGTTTTATAAGTACAGCTCTAGCATTTTGCTGTTATTGTCAAGTGATTCCTTTAATTTAGCTCCTAGAGGAGTAAAAAATCTGATACTATATGAAATAGCATTAGTGTTATATATCTAAAACTTATATATTCGGGGTATACAGCTATATGTTTTGTTGTTAAGTAATATATAAATATTATCAAGCGTCAAAACGCTGAGAAATAGCATGCGGTAAGAGTTATTATGTACTGATCTACAATTAAACTAATATTTAAATCCCGGTCTGCCATATGAGGTCTATATACGAGAAAATATGTTGCTGTCTAGGGTTATATAAACACATGGAAATTAGAGGTTATGATATATAATTGTCAAGCGATTTCTATATTTTATTGCTAGTTTTTTAAAGTACTATAACTCGGATAAGGTTAATAAATTTAAGCTATATTAAAGCACACCGGTTGCTATGTGTTGTTAGGGTGACACTAATTAAAGGATTAACTTTTATCAGAGATTTGCATTTTTCTACTGTGTGGATAAATACGGGTAGATTAGGATATTCATTGCGCGGGCGTCGCGGGTTATCCGTGCGGGAAGAGAGAAAGCGATTTAGACAAGACAGGAGCGCTTTGCAGCCAAACGTTTACACAAGAATTCAGTCTAAAAATACATTTATTTCTTCGAGACGTTTACAAAGTTAATGTGGTCTACTTCTTAGAGCATAATGTGTTTGATTTTATTTAAATTACGCAGAACAATTTAAATGTTTTTTGTAATAAGAGTCGTTTGGTTTAATTGTTCATTCGCCATGGTTTCTTTAACAAAAGTTCGGACCGTTGGCTCGTCTTCGTGCAGATTCACCCACTTCATACGACCCAATTGGTTCATTATTTTGACAGGCCAATAATTTTCTCCGCCGATGTAGACACCCGGATGGCTAGGATTAAAAATATTGCGCGATGACTTATACATCTCTGTGATAACATATCCTTCGGGAATGTTACGGACCACCTGTGCTTCCTTGGTGTAGTTTTGCCATTCGGAGATAGTTGCATCCGACCAGGTAATATGCCTCTGGTGTTTAGGTTGTTTCCTTCTAGGTTTGGTTTCGACCGCTGTGGGCTCGATACTAGTACTGTTCACTTTAGTTTGGGTGGCGAAGAGATAAACACGGCAGTTGCCAAACAGGTCCCCAAGAACTTGCTTATCTGCTGGTGTATCAGGCTTGTTATCCACCAACAAGTATCCAAACGGTTTTTCAGTCTCTTTGTAATAGGCGTTCATAAAGTGGACTCTATTCTTATCAAACATTCGTTCTCCAACAATTCCAATTTGTTTCCTATCACTAGGACTTCGGAAGAGAGCAAGATATTGGGCATTTTGGCTAATATCTGTATTGAATTTCCCCTTAGGAAACATGTTCTGAAGCAAAAGGATAACACTAGCGTTTCTATGACGTCCCTGGGTAAATAATCGAGCTACCACAGGACTGTCTGTCGCTTCGGCCATCAAATCATCCAGTATGATTACGTTGTTGTACCGGGTATTAATCTCACTCAGATCCTCGGACAACTTGGGCAAACCTCTTTGAAATCGGATGCTTTTCCCAAGGACTTTTTTAACTCATCGTAACGATCTTGCCATTGATTGTAGCACCAATGAATCCCAATACTTCTTTGCTCCTCGTACACGATACGATTGTTTTCCAATATTATATTTGTTGGACAAAATAAGTTTTCCCACTTTGGCTCGGACCCACGACCATTAGCGAAAATTTATGGCGGAAGTTGAATTCTGGATAGGGTTTGGTGGTAAAGATGTTGTAACTTTCGGTACGGTTTTTGTTGGTTTTAGTACAGACCTTGTTTTCTTTCGAACACATTTCATTTCTTTTAGTATATGTGCCGGTCGTATGGGCAGCAAACTTGAGTTGTGGCTATGCGGTGCTGAGAACCTCGCCCTTCCTAACCACTTTTTCCTTTGATCTCCGTATAAGTTATGTACTTGGCGCAAATGATCACTTATTATAGAAGACAAGGCTTGTTACAGAGAGGACAGTCTCTTTTGTGCTTATAGGGCATGTTGACACTTTGAAAGTTCAATCATAAATGACTGAGAATAAATGGTTTGAAAACATTTATATATATATATATATATATATATATATATATATATATTTTTTACGGCGACATGTGGGTGTGATGTAGGGTCGATGTAGGGTCGATGTAGGGTCGATGTGGGGTCGATGTAGGGTCGATGTAGGGTCGATGTAGGGTCGATGTGGGGTCGATGTAGGGTCGATGTAGGGTCGATGTAGGGACGGGAGTATAGGAGCTAGGAGCCATCCAACAAATATTGGAAAACAATCGTATCGTGTACGAGGAGCAAAGAAGTATTCGGATTCATTGGTGCTACAATCAAGGGCAAGATCGTTACGATGAGTTAAAAAAGTCCCTTGGGAAAAGCATCCGATTTCAAAGAGGTTTGCCCGAGTTGTCCGAGGATCTGAGTGAGATTAATACCCGTTACAACAACGTAATCATACTGGATGATTTGATGGCCGAAGCGACAGACAGTCCTGCGGTAGCTCGATTATTTACCCAGGGACGTCATAGAAACGCTAGTGTTATCCTTTTGCTTCAGAATATGTTTCCTAAGGGGAAATTCAATACAGATATTAGCCGAAATGCCCAATATCTTGCTCTCTTCCGAAGTCCTGGTGATAGGAAACAAATTGGAATTGTTGGAGAACGAATGTTTGATAAGAATAGAATCCACTTTATGAACGCCTATTACAAAGAGACTGAAAAACCGTTTGGATACTTGTTGGTGGATAACAAGCCTGATACACCAGCAGATAAGCAAGTTCTTGGGGCCGTGTTTGGCGACTGCCGTGTTTATCTCTTCGCCACCCAAACTACAGTGAACAGTACTAGTATCGGGCCCACACCGGTCGAAACCAAACCTAGAAGGAAACAATCTAAACATCAGAGGCATATTACTTGGTCGGATGCAACTATCTCCGAATGGCAAAACTACACCAAGGATGCACAGGTAGTCCGTAACATTCCCGAAGGATATGTTATCACAGAGATGTATAAGTCATCGCGCAATATTTTTAATCCTAACCATCCAGGTGTCTACATCGGCGGAGAAAATTATTGGCCTGTCAAAATAATGAACCAATCGGGTCGTATGAAGTGGGTGAATCTGCACGAAGACGAGCCAACGGTCCGAACTTTTGTTAAAGAAACCATGGCGAATGAACAATTAAACCAAACGACTCTTATTACAAAACACATTATGCTCTAAGAAGTAGACCACATTAACTTTGTAAACGTCTCGAAGAAATAAATGTATTTTTAGACTGAATTCTTGTGTAAACGTTTGGCTGCAAAGCGCTCCTGTCTTGTCTAAATCGCTTTCTCTCTTCCCGCACGGATAACCCGCGACGCCCGCGCAATGAATATCCTAATCTACCCGTATTTATACACACAGTAGAAAAATGCAAATCTCTGATAAAAGTTAATCCTTTAATTAGTGTCACCCTAACAACACATAGCAACCGGTGTGCTTTAATATAGCTTAAATTTATTAACCTTATCCGACTTTTAGTACTTTAAAAAACTAGCAATAAAATATAGAAATCGCTTGACAATTATATATCATAACCTCTAATTTCCATGTGTTTATATAACTCTAGACAACAACATATTCTCTCGTATATAGACCTCATATGGCAGACCGGGATTTAAATATTAGTTTAATTGTAGATACATAATAACTCTTACCGCATGCTATTTCTCAGCGTTTTGACGCTTGATAATATTTATATATTACTTAACAACAAACCATATAGCTGTATACCCCGAATATATAAGTTTTAGATATATAACACTAATGCTATTTCATATAGTATCAGATTTTTTACTCCTCTAGGAGCTAAATTAAAGGAATCACTTGACAATAACAGCAAAATGCTAGAGCTGTACTTATAAAACTCCAGACAACAACATATTCTCTTGTATATAGCCCTAACTATTGTGTCGCACACGAGGAGGGACGCTAAAAAATGCGTAGTCAGCAAGTTTCACACGTCCTTGTTTAAACCTGCCCGCGTGACGTCATTGCATATAATTATGACGTATGTTAATGATGAGTGACGTCACTACGCACCCTCACTTGTGCGGCCCCCTTAATTACCTGCATATATAATGATGCGGCCCCCTTGCATAGTAATTACTTGCATATATAATAAAGCGACCCCCTGAAAATAAGGCCCGATCGGCCCCTATATTACTACTGCCAGGGCGAGGGCCGGGGGGCCCTGGTAACATTTTAGCCCCCCCATGAGAAAATTTATTTTATAAAATAAGTGAAGCCTAGCCCCACCTAGGTTTTTGCTGGCTCCCCCTGGCCAAAAATCCTGGCTACGCCTCTGTTCGTAATAGTCTTGTTCGAATCAGTATCCAAAAACCTATTTAAAATGTTATTTTCAGATTTTATTCGTTATTTCGTCGGTGTTTGAGTTTGTACTGATGCGCATAGACGGATTTTCATATTTATTACTGGGGTGGTGCCAGAAATTTTAGGGGGGTGAGCCGTGAGCAGGTGACTGAAGCAAGACAAAGTGTCACCAAACCCCAGTAAGGTCTATATTCTAGGGGTGGAGCACTAGAGCCGCGAGGGGGAGTCTAGAGAGCGGAAAACAAAGTATCCCAGCAAAAATTTGAAAAAAATCATGATTTCTAGCTTCGAAAAAAGTTTTTTGAAGTGGTCAATTTGTCATATCAATGGATTTGGCATGTCCGATTGTCTGTTGAGACTTGAGAGAGTTAAAGACTTAAAGTGAAATGAACCTGTAAAAGTGTAAACCCAATAGGCCAATACACAATATGCTTTTACTTTTATAAAGTCATTGACATTGTGTTGTTTGAATCCAAGTACAATTTATGATGCAACTCCGATGTAAATAATATTTGGGGCGCAAAGATTAAATCTAGGCAAGTCTATTTCCTAAAAGAATTAAAAACTAAAAATAGTGTTCGTAAAAATTCCAAATGTTCCTTGCGTGCAAGCTATTCGCATGACAAGGCACTGCAAACTCTATTCAGGGAAGATAATAGAGTTTCAAAACGTTACAATTGCTCCAATAAACCAGTGAATGCAAGCGAGGAGCGATTAGTTTCAGAGTGTTGCACTGTCTTTTTCTGTTCGAGTGTACTCCTACGTTTATTTTGTATCATCAACACTCTGCACGTTGGAGTGGACTATTTATTTATTTATTATGCCGAATATTGGGGGGGGGGTTGAAAATTTTTTTGGAGGGGTGGACATTTTGTTTGGGGGGGTTATAGCTAATATTGGGGGGTAGCACCCCCCTGCACCCCCCAGAAAATCCGTCTATGCTGATGCGTCAGGACCGGAAGTACAACATCACTCGATGAAAACTATAGTACAGGGGCCGGTTGTACGAAAGGTGGATAAATCGCTATCACGGTGGATAAGTCCCTATCCAGCGGATAAATTTTATCCGGAGTGAAAATCGCGTTGTACGAAGCTTGGATAGCGCTATCCAACGGATAAAATGCACTATCCGTTGGATAAATTTATCCGAGGTCCGGAGGTAGTTTAAATCCACTATCCGGCGGATAAACTCAAAGTTTGAAGACAAAACAATGTGTATTTCATTTAAAAAGGATTGCTATTGTGATAGAAATGGACAAATACCGTTTAGAAATCCCTTTCTTGACACTAAATAAACATGGAAACTTACTTATGACTTCTCTTGCTCTTGACGTACCGAGCTCACTTTGAGTCACTTGCCCATAATAAATAATGCCATGACTTTGCCATATTTTATGCAGACCTGTGTCAGTGCTTAAACGTTACGTTTTCTGGCTTTTTTCCTTCTTTTTTTCTGTTATATAGCTCGAAAACAAGCAATAAAACTTTCATCAAATGAGTTCCCTTCAACGCCAAACAAATATAGCTGCATGTAAATAGACCAGGGTTGCCAGTTTGGCGTTTAATAAAAGAGCCAAATTTCTCTATTTTGGCTTCTTTTGACTTCGTTTGGCTACTAAAAATTTCGTTTGGCTTCTTTTTATTTTTTGGCTCTTTTTGGCTTCTTTTTGAATAAATACTGAAGTAAGCAACTTTTCAAAAATAGTCTGCATCCATCAGTAAAAGCAGGTAAAAGTTAGTTATAAACTCTGCTATGTTCGATCACACTATCCGGGATTCCAGATGTACGTAAATATCCGATCGGAACTAGTACCCTCTCCCCTGGCTTACGCGGTTCGCCCCGAACGGTGGGAAAACGAAAATTAGAAAATACTCGTTTTTTCTTTACTATTTTTCGATCCGTAGTTGACGAAAACGAACTTCCATTAGAACCAGAAATATAAAGTTAATTAAAGAACTGTCTACGTCCTCACTGCTACCTTGATAACTAAATAAAGTTTGAGTTGGAATTCTTAGTCACTATGTCAAATATAAATGTACGTTATTTATAGCGATTGTTTTTATGGGTATATAATTCGTACAATTAGGTTAGCCCCAGTCCCCACTCTAAATTTCGATTTTGTCTTCTTTTGGCCGGATTTGGCTACTTTTTACGTATCATTTGGCTCTTTCGGGCTCAAACCACCTGGCAACCCTGAAATAGACAACAAGGCACCGAAAGTCGAAAAAATTTGTTCGCTGCCCTTGATCAGCCAATCAAATCTTGCGAGAAAATGTTTTTAAAATTGTTTTGAATGACGTGAAAGGTCAAAGGACAAAGAACAAATATTCGGACAGTATATAAAATAAAACTGAATCAACGTACTGAAACAAGAAAACAAAACTCGCAGTCTTTGCTATTGCCTTCGCATAAAGAAGCCAAAAATCTTTTAAAGAAATATCAATAAGTAGATAGCAAACTCTTCACTGTGGGAAAACGAAGTATTGCAACGATTGGACGAGAAAAACTCCAAAATATAAACATGAACAAAAAACCTTTATTGCAAGTTGATAGTTCAAAGGTTATTGGAATTCACAAGTTATACGAAGATACTAATTACTACAACGAAAGTTTACAAATACCTAGCAACAGCTGACGTAGAGATAAGAAATTTCAGGAAAATTCGGTTTTTTCCGGTTAAAATTACGGTTATCCGACGGATAGCTATCCACCCTGCTATCCGTGCTTCGTACAACGCATTTTTATTCGGCAGATAGCTATCCATTAGATAGGAGATTTATCAATTGGATAGGACTTATCCACTGGATAACTTATCCACCTTTCGTACAACCGGCCCCAGGAGTACAGGCTATTAGGTCTATTAGTAACACCAGGAACACCGGAACAGCATCATTCCGGAACATGGAAAACCGGAACAACAAAAATTCTTAATTTATTAAAAATTCGAAAGAAAATTACAGAGGATGTGAAATTATTGCCAGAAACATTATTGCGTAAAACATGCCTTTATTGGCTTTAATATTCTGACTTGCCGATTGCTACAAACTGAAATCAGTCTCAAGGTAATAAATATTTGCCTGAAAAGAAGAAATCAAACCTAGAATTGTTATTTGTTGACAATAAATGGCTATCTTTGTTTTGTTGTTGTTCAAAACATGAACTTTGGCCGGCTTTCGGTCAATATTAACGGCTTATTGACCTCTCTTGTTCGGTCTGTACTGTGAAATATCAGACCGAGGTTTTTTAGTATGGACCGAGCGACGAAGGAGCCTCGGTCCATGCAAAAAACAGAGGTCTGATATTTCACAGTACAGACCGAACAAGCGAGGTCAATAATCGGTTTATTATATGGCTGAACTGAGTCTGTGAGCATATGCTTTTCGCGCGAATTAAATCGGCTATCGTCAGTTTCACTGGGTAACAATATACGGTAGGCCTGCATGCTCAATCAAAAACAATTTGGTTGTTTGAAATTTTTATCTGTAAATTTTAATGATACACAATTGGAAAATTAAAAAGCAAATATTTTTTCTGTTTGCAAAGCAAAAATTTCCCGCCAGATAAACGACATCCGGGACACCGGTCCAGATACGGAAAATACGGCCCACGGTCCGGATATGGGTTTTTACGGACAGCTTGTCAACCAATCAGAATAGAGAATTTTGAAAAGCCATATAATAATAACTTCTTATTAACCGAGCGCGAGGTCTTTACAAAGAAATATCGGACCGAGGTCTTTTTTGTACAGACCGCGCCCGTAGGGCGAGGCCGTTTGTATAAAAAGACCGACGTCCGATATTTCTCTGTGAAGACCGAGCAAGCGAGGTTAATAAAAAGATTATTATTAACTTCTTATTAACCGTGCGCGAGGACTTTACAGAGAAATATCGGACCGAGTTCTTTTTTGTACAGACCAAGCTCGTAGGGCGAGGTTTGTACAAAAAGACCAAGGTCCGATATTTCTTTGTAAAGACCGAGCAAGCGAGGTTAATAAAAAGTTTATTATATGGCATTTATAGTCGAAACAAATAAGAAATGCATGATTTGAAATGCATATTAGTAGCGTGGTACACATTTGATGGAAGAAAACAACAAATACCAATGTATTCCTTCCTTTCCAATTAAAACCATTCGCAGATATCTTATTAATAACAAATTAAATTATGATATTTGTGATGTTACTCTGAGTGTGTATCCACAACGGGCAAGCTGAAAAGTTTGCTTGGCCACGGTAGGAATCGAACCCGCGCCCTTTGGAATACTAGTCCAATGGCAATGCTCTGCCAGGGCGCTGTAAAACACGGGCGATGAAACGGCTATGGCACCCCTGATCTATGTGTGATGCAGGTCCCCCCGCATATTTTCATTTTTATTCGAATTCGATGTGGTTTGATCAGGCATGCATGTTTGTTTTGACTTCCTTTTAAAATTACTACGTAAAAAGGTACAATTCAAGCTGAATTCACAATGGATTTGGGATCTGTGCTATTACTATAGACAAAATCTTTTTTCCGGATTCTTAATCACGGCTGATTATATGGGGAATGTTGTAGTGTAAGATATAAGTCTGGGATCTCACTCACGAAGATCGATTGTTTTTGCAAAACAACTTCGTTCGTTTATAAGATGAAAAAAAAGACGAAGACAAAGTTTTTTAAACGGCTGTTGTTGTAAAACCTGCAACTGGAATGTGTGTTTGGAAATCAGGTATTAGTCTAGGACCTGTATATGAGTTTGTATGCATTTCATTTAGGACAGATAATCTCAACTGTTTTAGGGTAAGTTGACCATGACGGTCAACATGGTAACGCTGCCCGAACCTCAATCCGGGGCGAAACGTCCGAAACTGACCACACCCAAAAACGACGCTTTCGCCATACTGCTATCTACCAAACCATAAAAGCTTTGGCTATTCTGAGGTGCTTATATGGTTCAGAGATGGTACTTTTGGGGGTGGTCATTGGTAAGTGTGAAATGCCTAGCACTAATATTTCACAAGAAAATGGCCATGCAATAATCATAGTTAAACGTCAATTTGTGGCTTGCAAATTCAGATAAACAGCAGTGGACTTACATTACCTTTTTCCCTAAATCTTTTTGATAGAAACATAAATGGTACTTATTTAAATATATTATCACTGGTTTGGTGTAAAATAGTTAATATTTTCTGACCGAAATAATAATTTGAAATGTGCCTACCTCCTGCAAATGGACGTATTTGGCCAAGTTCTCCACTTTACTCCGCTGTTTATCGGCGATCTCGTCGACATCCTGCAAAAAATGTAAATCATCTCAGACATAATGGTATCAAGAACATTTTAAACAAGTTTCAACTTGGTTTCAAGTAGATCATACCTGTTTAACCATCGACAAGGTAAATCCACAACTTTGTCCAAATTCGGCGCCATTTTGTCATCCCATGTCGCTTGTTAACAATTCAGCCTTGTTACTCTTCCATCCAAGCCATTTCCATTCCACTAATAATAAATTTAACCCTTTATAACAGGAGGAAACTAAAAAATCTAAACAAAATATAAGAAATACGCCATTTTATCACCATGTAAAATTTTGCTCACGAGTCTTTCAAAACATTCCGTACAAATCTCGCGTGGTTTAGCAACAGGGACGTGACAGGGGGGGTAGACACTTGAAAAATGAAAGGAAAGCCCACACAGTATGGTAAAACCAACAATCAACATTTAATTTGTATGACTTTTTCATATTAATAAATAATAATATGTATATATTTGTCGCTACAAGAAATAAAACAAACATTTGTATGATTGTATTTAGCTTTTAGTCTATTTCACGCAGCCTTCTTCTATCTTCGTGAAATAATTCACCCCCTCCTGTCACGTCCCTGTTACTTTGTCACGCGATATTTGTACGGAATGTTTTGAAAGACTCGTGAGCAAAATTTTACATGGTGATAAAATGGCGTATTTCTTATATTTTGTTTAGATTTTTTAGTTTCCTCCTGTTATAAAGGGTTAAATTTATTATTAGTGGAATGGAAATGGCTTGGATGGAAGAGTAACAAGGCTGAATTGTTAACAAGCGACATGGGATGACAAAATGGCGCCGAATTTGGACAAAGTTGTGGATTTACCTTGTCGATGGTTAAACAGGTATGATCTACTTGAAACCAAGTTGAAACTTGTTTAAAATGTTCTTGATACCATTATGTCTGAGATGATTTACATTTTTTGTAGGATGTCGACGAGATCGCCGATAAACAGCGGAGTAAAGTGGAGAACTTGGCCAAATACGTCTATTTGCAGGAGGTAGGCACATTTCAAATTATTATTTCAGTCAGAAAATATTAACTATTTTACACCAAACCAGTGATAATATATTTAAATAAGTACCATTTATGTTTCTATCAAAACGATTTAGGGAAAAAGGTAATGTAAGTCCACTGCTGTTTATCTGAATTTGCAAGCCACAAATTGACGTTTAACTATGATTATTGCATGGCCATTTTCTTGCGAAATATTAGTGCTTGGCATTTCACACTTACCAATGACCACCCCCAAAAGTACCATCTCTGAACCATATAAGCACCTCAGAATAGCCAAAGCTTTTATGGTTTGGTAGATAGCAGTATGGGGAAAGCGTCGTTTTTGGGTGTGGTCAGTTTCGGACGTTTCGCCCCGGATTGGGGTTCGGGCAGCGTTACCATGTTGACCGTCATGGTCAACTTACACTAAAACAGTTGAGATTATCTGTCCTAAATGAAATGCATACAAACTCATATACAGGTCCTAGACTACAAGGCATTGTGTAGATTTGGCATGCACATGTCAAAAATAAGGGCAAAAAAATGTTTAAAAATTAAAAAAGCCCATTATCATTTGATGATTTTCAGAAAATTAGGTACTTAAATTATCCAGAAACATCAAAATAAAAATAGGTTTCATATATTATGCATGAAATATTTAAAAGTTAAAAATTTTCCGCGCTTGTAAAACTGCGACAACAAACTATCGCTTGCTTGCATTCGATATGGCATTGTGTAGACTTGGCATGCACATGTCAAAAATAAGCCAAAAAATGTTTAAAAATTAAAAAAGCCCATTATCATCCAAAAACATCAAAATAAAGCTAGTTTTCATATACTGTGCATGAAATATTTAAAGGTCAAAAATTTTCCGCGCTTGTAAAACTGCGACATCGCTGTGAACATGCAATTTGGAGTCTTTTGGCGGACATTTCAGTTGCATATTGTAAGTTCGAAAAGAGAAATAAAACAACCTTTAACATGGTAAAAACGGAATTTTCTGCTTGTATTTATCACAAGGAGTGTATACAAAAGTTAAATGCTGGTTTTTGCGTGAAAATACTTTTTTAAATCAAATTCTGGGCTATTTTGAAGAGAAAAAGAAGAAATGGACAATTTGTATTTGTAAATAAGCAAGAATGGCGAACAAAGTAAAAAAATTAACATAATAAAGCGAAACATTTCTCGTTCGAAAGTATAAATCTACAACTTCAACCACGATATTCAATGTAAATATTACATAATAAAGTTTTTAATACCTTTTTTACCTTTATTTGATAAATTGTGTGTTCTATATTATTGCATTTTGTATTGGAATAGGATAAATTATTAATTATACACAAATATTTAAATTTACAAATTATTCCCAATTTGAGGATGCTGGGTGCACTGGCTCAGAGTTTGTATTAGTGCCTATTTATTATTGAGTTATTAGTGCCTCTAAATCTCTAATGTACAAACATTGTAATCTGTTACTTAATACCAGAAAGAAACTGTTGATAGCACATATATTAAATGACTATTAATCAAAATGAACTAAATTTTCGACCATTATATAGCATATTTCCCCCAATATTAAGGGAATAATTTCTCCTATTTATTTTTATTATAAGCCAATATTGCCCAACTGTGAAGTAAATATTGCCCGACTGGCCTAGTCTGCCCAACAATTGGGCCCTGCCCTGTGCGCCTATGGCCAGGCCTACAGGTGGACCCCCAACCTGATTGGTCACAATTTTTCTTTCTCCAAAATTTCCCCTCCCCATGTACAAGGATTGACAATTTGATTAGATTTGAAAAAAAACACAGTTATATTGGGTCATTCCAGAAAACACCCATACCACTCCCACAGAGGAAATTGAAAGTTAATCCCTTCTACCCCTTTGGATGTCCTAATACATTTACTATTATCAGAAACAATTTTTCCCCCCTCCCCCTCTGAACGGCAGAAATTTCCTCTGTGGGGGGAGTGTGGATATTTTCTGGAACGACCTATTTGAGAAATGCTTTTGCACAAATTTTAAATTTTCTTACAATTTTCTTGTATGTCAGAACACTGTTCTAAGTTGCAACTAAAATTCAGAGGTCTAAAAGGCTCAAGTCAATTCCAGTGGTGTAACCAGAGGGAGTGGGGGGTCAAAATATTTTAAATGTTCTGAACTTGTTTGTAATTAATTAGAGTTGAACATGTGTTAACTGCAAGGTTATTTCAAATCACCAAAACACATTAAAATAGCCCCCCAAAATGGCACTTTATTAACTAGAATTTAAAAAGTTTACATTGTACTATATTATACATGGATAGCTTGGGAGTCCAAATATATTTTTACATACTAACAAACTTTATTCAAACTAGTGCAGGCCCCTCCTGGGGATTTCAGTCCCCCTTGAAGGCCTTAATTAGAAATCCTGGCTACATCACTGCTCAATTCCATTGCCAATGATGGTGTTAGCATGATTAGACAGAGTAGGTTAACAAACTAGTGTGTATTATGAGATAATCCATTGAACACCAATGATCTATCCCAACATATAAAATCATCTGGTGTTGGCTATTAGTAAAACACGGAGCACGGAGCACACGGAGCACGGAGTACGGAGCACACGGAGCATGGAGCACACGGAGCACGGAGCACACGAACTACGGAGCAGTAGAAAAACGAAAATCCTTTATAATAAAATACACTGTTTACTATTACAAATTTTTGTTCTTATTAATAAAGTTTTTTCGCGTTTTACACGTTGAGGAAGTAGAAAAATGGGGCTTTTACTGTACATATGATGCAAAACTGCCAAAAGCCATAGTATTTAAAATAGGATTGTGCCGTTTTGAATATTTGGAATCATTCACTATTATATTATAAAACTGTATAAGATAGCTGTACAACTATAAATGCTGTAGAATAAAATAAATAAAGAAAACTACGTTTTATCGCGGTATTTGCCGATAAATCGGTAACCGCTACAGAAAAACAGAACAAATTACAGTAAATCACAACAAACCGCGGAAGTGGGACAATTTTTGTATTTTTACTGTAAGACATGTAGAACATGTACGAAATCCATACAGAAGTGTGTGTGTATTCTCTGCTTTTGAAACAACTAAATCAGACTTCGCAAAATTTGACAGTATTAAAGCTACTTTTGAGAATTTAGATTTTAGGTCTTTGTTTCACATGTACCCAGTAAATATTTTTGAGTTTTGAACTTTGATTCTCACAAGCTTACAATTTGTTTACAATTTACTCTGCCGTGTGGCAGAGTTGATCGGAAATGTAACAAATACGCGTACACTTAAGGTGGCTCCCTACAGTTTTCTAAAATTTTAAGTATTTTAGGTAGCCTTCGTTTTGAACCAAATTTATATTGAAAACACTTAAGACAGGGCAATATAATCATTTCCAGGAAAGTTCAGAAGTCTTCTGCTGTCGATATATGAACAAATAGGAACAGTGTTAGCGTTGCCATGGCAACCATGACGTTTCATCTTTTGCACTTTTATTGTCTAATTTTACAATCAAACGGCAATATCTTTTTTTTCCTTCGGTCAATTTTTCTGAATTTTTTTTTTAAGATTTATGGTTGAAAGGGGAATGACATATTAAAATTTGAAGGGATGTTTATAAGGCCGGTTTTGAGATATTCATGAATAACGACTACAAAAAATCTGTCTTATAGAATTTCTTGAAATTTTGATATGTTTGGCGAATCGTCATGCTTAGCAAACGTGCAAAGTTTAAAAAACTTTCACCGAAGGAAACGCGAGAAAAATAGTCCTAAATCCAGTTGAAGCTGTTGACGTGACAAAATATCGATTCGACATGATCACTATTTGCGTGGGGAACACGAAACGCGTACGGTTTATAGTTGGCTTTTTTAGCAATTTTCTCTTTGAGTTTTTGGCTTATATGTATCACACAGATATTTTTTACTTATTTGAAATGAAAATAAAAGATATATGTATTCAAAATACGAAACATTGAGAACACAATAACGCACTGACTTAATCCAACGTTTCTTAAATTTAGTTTTGTTATGAAAATCGGTGTGAAAACTTTTCAAAACATTCAAGTAGAGTTTGACTTTTCGTATAAAACAACTCGTAACTGTCTGCATTATAATTTTATTGGATTCAGCAGATAAAAACTACATGTGAACTGAGTTGAATGACAGGGTTTACGTAAGTTTCAGTGACAATTCAGGAGTGCCTTCAAGACAGTATAAAATATAAT